CCCGCCGGTCTCCATCCCTCACTCCCTGAGCCTCCTTCCTCCCTCTGTGTACCTCCCCTCTCCCTCCCCGAACCTCCTCCCGAAGCTCCCGCCGTCGAAGAAAGGACAAACCCGGAAGAGAGAGAGAGAGAGAGAGAGAGAGAGAGAGAGAGAGAGAGAGAGAGAGAGAGAGAGAGACTGACCTGCTTCTTGGACGTTGGCGGCGGCTGGCTGGTTCGTCGGCGAGGGCTGGACGTGGATGGCTGCGGGGCTGCAGGGGGAACGTGGATGGCGGCTTCCTCGTGGATAGCTGCGGGGCTGCAGGGGGGACGTGATGGCGGCTTCCTCGTGGATGGCTGCGGGGCTGCACGGGGGATGTGGATGGCAGCTTCTTCGTGGATGGCTGCGGGGCTGCACGGGGGACGTGGATGGCAGCTTCCTCGTGGATGGCTGTGGGGCTGCAGGGGGGATGTGACGGGCAGCAGACAGCGCGCCCGCGAAATTAAAAAACGGCCAGTTCGAAAGTGCTGGCCCTGCCTCCCGCCTCCCCCCAGTTTGAGTCTGCACAGACTGTGGTGGGTCCGACCTTCGACCAATGTCCGGTAGGGCGAAAAGACACACAAAAATCGGCCCAGTACTTTTCTGGGGCCGCCGAGGACCCGAATAATGTCCCTGGCGGCCCCTTTTTTTTTCTGATTTTTCGTTGGGGGGCCCGGTTCCGGACGTCCAGGACCGGACACCGGAACCCTACATAATGTTTGGGGGTGTCTGGAAACCAGTCCGGACGTCCGGTCGGTTACCATGCCAGAATGTTTACAAATTTTTTACAAACTGTGAAAATTTCCGAAATTTTCCACATTGTTTATTAAACTTTATTTTCAAAAATTTCGCACTATTTTGTATATTTTGAATTATTTTCGCAAAAAAAGTCAGATTTTTTGTCCCTGCTTGGTGGCAGCATTGTCGACACCTAGTGTAGATGTAGTGACTGCAGTACAGGTCTTGATCCTGCTAGATTCTTATGGACCTTCCCCTTACCTCTCCACCCCCTCGTCTCCACCTACCCGTATCGGGGCTGGTAATTTCCCCTTACCTTGTGCCAGTATTCTGCAACCCTCGTCTCCGCCTATGAATATTATCGATGTCCCCCCTCTCCTCGCCCTCCTCCCCCTCCTCCCCCTCCTCCCCCTCTTCTCCCCTCTCCCCCCTCCCTCCCTCCCTCCCCCCTTCCCCCTTTCTCCCCCGCAAAGCCCCTTTCTTTCCCACTGAGAGGTTTGATCAACTTTAATGTGTCCGGTGATAGGATGGGTGGACCAGGGGGTGGAGAGGTAAGGGGAAGGGGGCTGGTAAATTCCCCTTAGCTTGTGCCAGTATTCTGCAGAATGCTGGCAGAAGGTCCTACGCGTGCGTTGTGTGTTTGTTCCAAAGAAAAGCAGTGTAGATAGGGAATATACTAATATAGTATAAATTTATTTAAAAAATCATTAAAATGCAGATTCAGGGAATGTAGTAGAAAATGCAAGGTGGATAGGGACCATCACATAAAAAGAAAAGAAGTGTAGATAGGGAATATAGTAGAAAATGCAAGGTTGGCCACACACCCGTCTGCCTCCGAAAAGTCACGGTTAATTTGCTTTTCTATATCTCTGCTTAAACCTCATCCAGATTCAGGTGCTTAATCCAATCCTCTTTGCTAGTGGGACCTCGCCTCCCCCCAGGAGTAGCTCTCCTCGGTGTGGGCCCATCACTGTGCCTAAGCCACACAATTATGCAAGTTAGATTTGATTTTATCTGGTTTTTTTTTTCTTTTCTTTTCTTCTTTCTTTGAAAAAAAGGGAAAATTTTTGAAATGCCCCTGAAGTTTTCGTTTATTTGCGGCGTGCCCCTCTGACGGCTGACTTACCTTGTCGCGCCCCTCTGACGACGAGTGATGTTTCCAGAAAACCCCTGGCGTCGTTTGGGCCTGAAAAATGTTTCATATACCCCTACCGGTACCAGTACCAAATTTTCAGTATGCCCCTACCGGATGGCCGTTGAGAACCAGCACAAAAGTTTCCCATATGCCCTTATTGGTACCGTCCATCTTTCCAGCGAGCCCCTGAGGCCGTTGTTGACACTCGCAGTCTTTCCCCTGGCCCCGGGAGAGATGCTACCGGGGCATATCAGAAATTTGGCGATGAGCATGGACACACACACACACACACACACACACACACACACACAC